ACATATAAACACATGTGTTAGCTATGATTTCTGTGATTTTTGAGTTTATTGGAGCACGAATAGTGTAATTAATTAATTACTAGAAATATACGTACGCGCGGTATCGATCATCGCGCGTCAGGAGCACTTCACACCTGGTTAACACGCCAGCCGGCGTCGTGTGAACTGGTTGAACAACCGATGACTTGTAGCCATAGTTCCATTGATTGCAAACGAGCCTAACTGATCTTGTCTGCGTATTGTTGTTAAACAGATTTGTGTGCGGTGACTAATCGCGGCGCGTGACCCGGCTACCCGAGTAGGCAGATGAACCGAGTGGACCAGACACCACCTGATGAGCACGTGCAGTTTTATGGAAATATTTTCGCGTCTATTCGATTCGGATCTAAAAATTTAACGTTACCGATTTTTAGTCACAGTCAATTTAATGCTCTCGTATACAGAAAAAAGGTTGATTTATAATAAAGCTTTATTGCAGTACCAGTAAATAAAGTACAGCCACGTCATTTGAATACTCTCGTAAACGCAAGTCATTATAAGCGTGATTTCGTTGACGAAATATCTTCAATATATCAAGATATTGACATATATTAAATATATATTAATAATAATTATATATATATATATATATATATATAATTATATTTCTATAAGAGCAGCCAGTAAACATGATATTTACGTATAATCAATCGCCATATAATAATAATGGAACTATCAGAAACGATTTTAAGCAACACATAATTAATATATCAATCCGAAATTAATTTTTTCCAAGACACTCATTTACAGAGACGTCGCAGTGATAACCAATAAATGTTCTTTCTTTTTTCCATCTTCTTCTTTCTCGTCCTACTCTTCCTACTCTTATACTTCCCTTCTTCGGGTTCGTCCCCCTTCTCATTCACCCCATCTTTCTCCTTCTCCTCCTCCTCTTCTTCTTCATCTCCCTCTTCCTCATCTTCCTCATCCTTCTCCCCCTCTTCCTACTCTCTCTTCTCTTCTTCCTCTTCCTCTTATTCGCATTCTTTGTCCATTATTGAGGAGGCTTTCTCTGTGAAATACGCGTCCATTTCTACACTTGTCCACCATAACGTGAAACTGCTCTCTTATTAAAACTGGGATCAATGCAAAGAGAGTTTGAAGTCTAACAGTGGCTCTTTTCTGATCATAACTTCTCATATCTAAAATCGTTACTTCTTCTTTCATAACTTATCACATATATAACTGGTTATATTCTGCGAATATCTATACGATTTTATCAAGGCTATTTTAAAAGACGTTCTTCGCTGTAGTATAATTATAATAGAACACTGTGTTGTCAAAACGAATATATCGACGAAGCGTTTCCGTCTGCACTGGCGAGTAGGGCGCGTCCTGACTCGTGCAAATTGGATCGAATTCGGTCAAGAGTTGGTGATCCCAAGTAGTTGCGCGGAATCGTGCTATCGGATCGCACACCTTATTCACGCTATACGCCCTTGATGAAGTTATCCGCCCGGTCAGTGATGCCAATAGTCTCGGTCAGTGATGGCGTGCA